AGAAAAGTTAAATTGATTTATCTAGTAGCTTTTTCCACATTTTGCACCTCTCAAAATGTTTGTGTGGGTAGTTCTATAGCTAATATTGAATAACAAATGCATAAGAATCCTTCTGTCACAGATTAAAATGGTTTATCTCTTCCCAGAAAGATTCTGATTTGATCAAGTTAAAATCTGATATAAAGGCTTGCAATGCCCTTTGAAATACTTTAGTATTTATATCCAAGAAGCCAAAGAGAAGATCAAAAACCAAAGCAAACCAAAAATTAATTTTCTTTTCTCATTAAAATACAAAATATCAGATGCCCATCAGGAGAGGGTCCTGCTAGTAGACAGCAACAAATTATGTATCCAAGTATTCATACCATTCAGCCTATTAACAGAATGGATGGAAAAAATATTTATCTAAATGAAAATAAATTCTTTTTATCTGAAGTAGAGACTTAAGGGATTTCAAATATGTTTTAAAGTGCAAAGAGGGAGGAAAAGCTCTTATCTGTTATTTGTTGACATTTGAAGCAGTTTAAGCGAATTGGAGATTTCAAAAGATAAAATTACAATAGAGCAAAACAACAAAATCCGATATATATTGCTGCTACCTGATTCAAACAATCCCAAAATATAAATACTCAAATGCCTGCTCAAAGACAGACTTAAATGCTTCCTGAAGGGCTAATACAGAGAAGGACCAGACATACTTCTAGGACCAGGTTGTTTTGGGAGACATTATAGAGCAATGCCTTCAGGTCCACGTCCTTCTAAATACTTATAAGAATGTTGTAACTTTTATAAATTATAGCTTTGGTGTCCTTTTACTACACAGAAAATACTACTGATGCTTCTTGATCACCTGGACTGTTTAATGCTACCAACCAAACAGCAATATGAGAATCAAAGTCAAATCAAAGCTAAAATCATGGACTTGGGGAGTATAAGGAACTACCAGAATACAGAAACATATTGAAAGGAATATAAAAGTACCCCCCCCTCAAAAAAACTTTGCTATAGGTAGTCTTCCACTTCTGACCGATTGTTTAACAACCATTTGAAGCTATGATAGACTTACAACTACTCTTAAGTTATAACTGCCGCGCCTCCCGCCACAGAGATGTGATTGTATTTTCGGTGCTTGGCAACTGGCTTACCACCAGTTGCAGGGTCCCATCATGAGACCATGATTTGCAATGAAATGCCCATTGGATATGTTGCTTAACAACCATGCGTTCACTTAACAACCACTTGATTTGTTTAATGAGTTCATTAGGCTTCACTGTTGTTGTTAAGTCGAGGATTATTTACATTCCTGAAAACAAGAACAAAAAGTCCCTTGGAAGCATTCTAGCTCAGCCAATCAAAATTAATGGATGTCAATAAAGTATAAAATTTTGTTAATAGAAAATGTCCCACCTTAATCTTTGAGTATGGAATTGTACTGAAAAACGTATCTTTTTCTTTTCCATTAATTCATATTTAATTTTAGAGAATAAGCTTTAAGAAACACCTAGATATTGCATCAAAACAAAGAAATAAAACTTAAGTGGCCTAAAATCTTGTGTTTGCATCCAAATTTTCAACCATCAATATACTTAGCCTGAGGCTGAAATCCTGAACTCTTACTTAGAGCTGAAAAATGTTCAACAGTTAATTGGCAAAGGAAACTGTAAGAGGAGGGAAAAATCTTCAATTTACCCAAAATGAATTTTGTGATAGGTCTGGCAAGAACTGTCAAAGTACTGATCTCTTATATATCCTCATCTTTTCCAATTTATCACACTGATTTGTATGCCCATCCTGTCATTCATGAGAATAACAGATAGAAGTGGCAAAATTATAGCAACGGCAGGCAAAGAAACCATAAGAAAATTCAAAAGTTCTGCTGTGGAATTAAATTTGATACGTAGGGATTTGAATTTATAACTGTGCAAGCTTATAAGCCGAATCGTTCACACCACTTTGCTAAATCTTTTGGAGGAAGATACTAAACGTAATAATCATAATCTTTATTATGGTCACTAACCACCGAACTAAACCACCGACTTCATAAAAAGAATAAAAGAACAAAGGAACAAAACACAGGGAGCCATGGCATAGAAAAGGAAGCATAAATGTTATCTAGAGGGAATAATAAAAATGCTTTCATGTCTCAAACATTTCTAAGGAATCAACAGGAACATTTACCACAGTATAATAAGTACAGATAGTAGGTTATTAAAAGCAGAAGCTAAATGATAAAAATAAAAGGATCAAATCAATTAATAAGAATATTTTAAGAGTAAGATATTAAAATGCTGCCTAAGAAATGAAGCTCCCCATCCAATCTGATTTCTCTATTCGGTAGCAAACCTGGTCTGAAAATTGAGAAAACTCTTCCTTTTGGGAGGGTTAAAATTAGTTCTTTATCCTAGCTACTCATTCAAGGGAAAAAAAACAACCATTGTGAGGCTTACAATTATCTCCCTTTTTGAAAGCAGAAAAATTATGTTACTTGGATTCCCATGGAGTCCTTGTTGCTCACTGAGCTTGATTGTTTGCTTGCAGATGCTAGTTCTCAACTTACTGCAGGTAATCTTTGATCATTCATTTAGTGACCACTCGAAGTTACAACAGCACTGAAGAAAGTGATTTACAACCATTTTTCACATTTATGATTGTTGCAGTATCTCCACAGTCACGTTATCAAAATTTGGACACTTGGCAACTGTTATGTATCGAGGATGGTTGCAGGGTTCTGAAGTCATGTGATCACCTTTTGTGACCTTCTGACAAGTAAAACTAATGGGGAAGCCAGATTCATTTAAAGTCACAAAATGGGGCAAAACCTGCTTAACCTGCCTCGCTTAGCAACATACATTTTGGGCTCAATTGTGGAAATACCTGTGTATTATCTTCTATATGTTCCTGTTCATAGAGCTAGTGCCATCCTATCCTTTTACACATTTCTTTCTTATGACAAGTTTAGCAAGCTCTGATTTTTTTTCAGGGGCGGTTCTGTAGTACAAATTGTTAACAAGACATTCGAGCATAATTTCTTGGGCACTTTATTAATTTTAAAGGCAAACTATGTGCTTTGTAACAATCTGGCTCTTAAAAAATTAAAAAATAAAGTCAACTATACTTCCTTTTGTTGGAAAAGCCACAGTGAAATAGCGAGGTCCGATGCAATCAATAGCTATTAAGGCATGCTGATCTACTGGATCTTCTAGGTCTTTGGAAGAATGTTAAGTCCACAGCTTTAAACTCATAAATATTTAGATGAAAAGGGCTTATCATATTAAACTAGAAAAAATGAATAATAGTAGACTTGCATAGGCAAAGTCAGGGAATGCACAATGTAGGCACTTAAACTTGTTATTTTTCCTACACGTTTGCTGGCTTACAAAAGAAAAAGGGGAGTAACTTGAGACAAATGAGTAAACCTGTACTTTCCCTCTGCAAGTATGTACATTCTATGCACAAGTTATTTGATGTGATCTATGTTCAGAAAAAAAACCACCAGTTCTTAGCAAACCTGTTTCTGCAATAATTGTAGGCCAAGGTAGCAATGGCCACATGGGAGGGTAGGAAGAAATGGATGAAATTGGAATGGAAGAGGTCAGGAAAGCTGTCGGAAAGATGGCCAACTGGGTTGGTGTATAGGTCTTGCACAGAAGTACACAAAGAAGGTATAGTAGCAATGGCTAAAAGAAAGTAGGGAAGAGAAGTTAGTGGCCAGACTGATAGGCAGACCAGCACAAAGGTCTTGCAGAAGGACAAAATGGGTGAGGTTCAGGAAGCTAAGGATAATTAGGAAAAAGAAAATTTTCTTGTTGCATTAAAATATAATTTTCACTCTTAAACATGAAATTCAGCATTCAAGGTGGATGGGAGAAATATTTAAAAGTTCAAAAATTGAAAGGTGTATTTTGCTTCCTTTTCTTTCCTTAAAAACTAGCCTTTATATTGAAAAGACCTTTTAGTTTATTGCAGCATATCGTTGAATATGTATGCATGAATCTTTCTGAAACCATTGCAACAGAATAACTGAATAACTATTGCAAAGATATTTCTTCCATGTGTGTGCATGTTTTTTTCCTGAGGGAACATGCCATTAATTTTCAGTAATACATGACTGGAAAAAGAAGTAGGAATGGACTTTAATTTTAATTAGTTTGTGCTTCATACAAAGGACACTAAACAACACATTTCTGAAATTATGAACAAAGTACATGAGTCTCCCAGCATTTTCTCCCTAATATTCTCAGCTGCGTAAGAAAAATGAAGGCAAGATAAATACAATTAAAAGAAACCTAACAGTATCCCCACTTACGGTCAATTTTTTTTAAAAAAATTCAAAATACGTTAGATGCTTTATTCTTCTTTATCACAGCCATATTTTTATAGAGCATTAAATTTTCCAATTTTTCTTAACACATCCCCTAAATAGATCATCTATGAAATCTATAGTGATTTATTGGGGCCTAGGCACCCACTTCCACTCCTAATTTATTAAACGTATGAGATTTTTTTTCTTTGAAGTAATATTGTGAACTTTTTTGTGTCTCAGCTACTTAAGCCTATTCATATAGCAAGTATAAGATAATGTAATCTACATAAATCTTCACATATAATTATTAGGATGTTCAAACATTCCAATTTATCTTAGATTTACAGACAAAATCTAGCTAACAAACAGAAAATTCAATATAAAACTACAAAAAGAATCTTGCCATCAATTCACATTGTTAAGCGAATCTGGTTTTCCCATTTGACTTGTCAAAAGATTGCAAAAGGAGATCACATGACTCCGGAACATTTAATCCGTCATAAATACATGCCAGTATTTAATTTTGATCATGGGAACACAATGGTCATAAGTGGGGAAAATGGTCGTGTCATTTTTTCTCAGTGCCATTGTAACTTTGAATGGTCATTAAATAAATGGTTGCAAGCCAAGGACTACCTGTATAATCTTTCCTAAAGCCATCTCAAGAAAGGATTTCATAATCAAATATTCTTTTTACCTCAGAAGATCTTCCAACTTCCGTATCTTCTTATGTGATTCTGTTCTTTCTTTATCGAAATCACTTTGAATTCCATAAATCTAATTAAGAAAAAAAAGGCAGAGTTAATTCTAGAAACCATGTGACAAGTGACATATCCACTATTGTTCAGATTTGGGACTATTGAGATTAGCTCTGTAACTACAATCTCTGCAGGGCTTGATTTCAGAGTTTGGAAACTTCAACTAATGAAGAAGGCTACAGTCTAAGAATTAACAAATATAAATCCAATCACATATTGTAATTATCTGTCAGAAATGCGCTAGTACATTCTATGTTGAGCAGGGGTCTGGACTATACAGCCTCTAAAAACGCTTCCTACTATAATTCTATGTTCTACCTCTTATTCAATATTGCAAGGTTTTATTATTGCAAGGTTTTAATATTTCTGTTTGAATTATTTTTAAGGTTTGTTACACTGACTTTTGTTAAGACTTTTTAGCTACACAGAAAATAAATGACATATCTAAAGAACTGTTCTGAACTGCTACTGAAGTCATGCTAATAATATTGCATGACTACATTGCTGTATCTAAAATCTTAAAATGTAATATGCTTGCATTGCAAATAGTATGGACTTGAAAGCTCTTTTTCTCTTTTTGTAACAGCTGTTTTCCATACTGACAAACCACGTCTGCAGCTGAATGGTTGTCTTTTCACAACACAAAACTATAATTATCAAAAAAAGTAATTATTATGATGTTTATGTGAGTATGTCACATCTTTGAATTGTGACTGTTGAAATTTGGATTTAGGATCTAATAAATCATAGCTGTTTTTAGAATAGTGTTCACATTACCTCTACAATCAATGTTGAATTATAATAATTACAAAAGAAAGCTAAATGTTTGTCACATAGGAAACTGACTTAATAAAGTGTGACTATTCCATTTTACCTAGGTTTGTCTAATCTGACTGGGAGTGGTTTAAGAGTCCTCAAAGTTGCAGCCCTACTAAATTCTTTTAGAAATAATGGAATATTCTCACTTTACCAACTTCAAGCTTTCAGAGGCCAGGGGTAGATAATACTTTATGTAGTTCAGTTTAAAAAAAATAGTATTTGTCAATGTTTATGTTAAAAAATTAAACATCTGAATTTTTAAATATCAAAGAAAACCTATTTACAATGATATGGAGGTTCTGAAAATAAATTCAAAGAAACAAGTAAACAGTTTATTTCTAACGCATACCATACCCAACCAGGGTAATCTAACAAATCAAAATAACACACTAGAAACTAACAGTTAAAATGATACGAAAGTAATAAATCATCCATGTTTCCCCAAAAATAAGACAGGGACTTTTTTTTTCTTTTGACCCTCGAAATAAGCACTTGGCCTTATTTTTTAATAAGTATAATCTCTATTGTCATTGTACTTAAATACAACAAAATTGGTTATTTTGATTTGTTAGATTACCCTGGTTGGGTATGGTATGCGTTAGAAATAAACTGTTTACTTGTTTCTTTGAATTTATTTTCAGAACCTCCAT